TTTTGATAAAAATCATTGCTTAGTCCATGATTATCCAAGTTTAAAATATTATTAATCTATATATCTATCCTTCTTAAAAGAAACAACTTTGTAAATTGCATCATCTGTGTTGGTAGTGAAACAAAAGCATACCCTTGAATAACCTCTGTATTTTACTGAGCTGCCCATCTGGAAGGCTAGATTGTGGATGATTATGACCGGGAGTGGCACAGAGGCAGCGGCGGCAGCCTTACCTACTGGACTCCAGGACAGGTCAGGGCCAGTGTTCCCTCTCAGCTGTTCACGTGAGCAGCTGCTCCTTAACCCAGGAAGCCCCACTTAGCAGCAATCTGGAGCCGCACGGGGTCTTGCACTGCCCATTGCCCATTTTAAGATTACAGCGGTTATATTCTGCTCAGGATGTGAACTGCTCCGTTCAGAAGGGAAAAAAAATATTAGAGGGAACAGTGGCTCAGGGCATCTTGCAAGAACACAGTAGCAGCTGATGGGCCCAGCACCATCTGCAGAACAGTCTCCCTCCACCAGGCAGCATCTGATCACAGCAGCAGGAGTAGGAGGTTTGCTAGCCCAGGACATTAGCTGGGGTCATGGGGGACAGCAAGGGCACAACTCAGCTCCCTGATAGGGTGGCACCTGGAGATCTCCCGCTATTATAATTGATCTCCAGATGACCAAGATCAGTTCCCCTGGAGAAGATGGCTGCTTGGGAGGGTGGACTCTGTGGTAGGAATAGGGCAGAACCAGGCGAGTGAAGAGAACTGCACTCATGAGAAAGAATGTGTGAACTTTGCTAAATCCAATAAAGAGACAATTAAGGAACACTATTGGTGAGTCTCTGATGCTTATGAAAGTCAGTTATTTTATTTATTTATTTATTTATTTTATTGATTTCTATCCCACCCAACAAGATAAAGCTTCATAGTACATAAAACACATTCATCCCAATTAATACTAATTTGATGAACCATACAATGATATAAACATGTTAAAATCAACAATATTAAAATGCTAGAAATTCCAATATTCAGTAATTCTATTGGTCCGCTTCCATTATGGGAAAGAGAGGGACCATACTGGACTACCAAAGAGCATCTCTTGTGGAAAACAGATTCTCTCTGACATTATTTAGATAAAGTAAGTATGGGTCTATTTCTTGGATTCCCCCCCCCCAACCAGTCATATAGTCATAAAGTTAGACAAATCCTTAGTTGTTAATCCTTAGTTGTTAAATGCCACAGGAGAGGGTGGCAGCTACAAGCATGGATGACTTCAAGAGGGAATTAGATACACATATGGAGCAGAGGTCCATCAGTGGCTATTAGCCATAGGAACTCTCAGTCTGAGGCAAGTGATGCACTGTATTCTTGGTGTTTGAGGGGGGCAACAGTGGGAGGGCTTCTAATGTCCTGGCCCCACTGATGGACCTTCTGATGGCACCTGGTATTTTTGGCCACTGTGTGACAGACTGTTGGACTGGATGGGCCATTGGCCTGATCCAACATTAGCTTCTCTTATGTTCTTATGTTTTCCCGTGGCCATACTTGATGTAGTCATTCAGAATATGTTTAGGTGATGCATCTAAAAGGTGATCCATCCTTTTTGTTTCGGTTATCCTGAATAGGCAACTGCTCTTGAGCTTACAAAGAAATAAAATAAAACTGACCCTTCGTGTAATGTATTGAAACGATTACATGAGTCACCTCATAGGACTCCCATGTTAAGCTTTGAGCCAGGCCAGGGCTCCTCTGAGCGAACTTCCTATTGGTCGCTTCGTAACAGCGACCAATCAGAACGATACCATTCCCTAGGAGGGAAAGACTCCCATTGGTCCTTAACTAAGCAATCTCATTGGTTGTTAATTGTAAATAGGCGTGGCTACATTAGCCCGGTTATGTTTAAAAGGAGCATAAGCTCCCACTGTTTTCTGTTCTGGTTTCTTACTGAGTTGAGTGCTTGTTCGTTACTTCCAATAAAGCTGAATCACTTGCTGAATCACTCTAAGAGTCCTTTGTTAGTGCGATCTAACAATTGGCGACGAAGGTGGGATGTTAGAGCAGGTAGGCAGCCCTGCGGACATCCACACTTCGGACTCGGAAGAAAGCGAGCAGAGCACAGCAGCCGATCCGGCGGAGGCGCCACCAGCTCCGGTGCCCAAGTCTCCCACGATGGCTGGAAGCCAGAAGTTCGAGTGCTTCGAACCTTCCTCAGAAGACTGGGACTCCTACCTTTCCAGGTTCGAGTTCCATCTGGAGACACACGACATTACAGACGAGGCCAAGAAACGGGCGTGTCTCCTGAGTTCCTGCGGGAAGGGGACCTTCGACATAGCCAGGTCGTTGGTGGCCCCAACTAATATAAAGACTGTCACCTACGCTGACATCACTGAGAAGCTTAAGGCTCACTATTCTCCACAGCCGTCGGAGATCGCCTGCCGGCACGCGTTTTACAAGCGGAGCCAGGCCGGAGGCGAGACCATCGCGGATTTCGTGGCGGCCCTTCGCAAAGCCGCACGGCCGTGCAACTTCCATGACGTGGAAGAAGCCCTCCGAGACCGTCTTGTGTGCGGCCTCAGAGACGAGAAGCTACAACAAAGGCTGTTCGCCCGTACCACTCTGACCTGGGCAGTGGCCTACGAAGAGGCCTTGGCCGCAGAAGCAGCGGATAGGTCCACGAAGGAGGTCCGCCAGCGGATGGCAGAGCACAGCGTCCACTCGCAGCGGGACAGCGAGAGCGAGGAAGCAGACGATGACGTCAACGCGGTTCGAGGCAAGCGGACCCCAGCGAAGCCTACCATCGTCAAGCCTTGCTCCGGTTGTGGCGGGAAACACCAGCGCGACTCCTGTTGGGCCCGGGATGTCGACTGCAGAGCCTGTGGACGGCGTGGTCATCAGGCCAGAGTCTGCAGATCGGCACGGAAGGATCCCTCACCTACCAGCAGGTCGGCACAAAGGAATACCCCCGCAAATTCCCGAAGCAGCAAGCAGCGTTTCCCGGCATCGGAAGCAAGCTGCCAGACTACAACGACCCGGACAAGCGCATCGGCTGTAAACCGCACCAGTTGCCAAGGGAAGATCACCGTGACCCCACTCCTCGACGGCAGACCATGCACTATGGAGGTGGACTCCGGCTCTTCTGTAACGGTGATTTCTGCAGCATCCTGGCAACAGCTGTTTCCGACCAGAAGCAGACGGCGGCTCCAGCCTGCGGAGACCAGAGTGTCCGACTTCCAGGGCAACCGGATTCCCCTGGCCGGAAGAGACACTGTACATGTTGAGTATAAGGGGAAATGTGTTAAACTGTCATGTCTTATTGCTGAGGGAGACCGGGTCAACCTGCTGGGGTTGGACTGGTTTGAGCCATTGGGCATTGGTATTTCAGGGATTAACAAATTGCTTGAGAATAAATGGGATATGATGTATGACCTGTTCCCTGATGTGTTTGCAGAGGGTCTGGGGCGGTACAAAGGGCCCCCGGTTGCTTTTGAACTTGACCCATCTGTAAAGCCGATCAGACTGAAATATCGGAAGGTTCCAATTCCCCTCAGGCCTAAAGTAGAGAGGGAAATTGATAAACTCGTGGAACAAGGAATTTTGGAACCTGTTCCTCACAGCAAGTGGGAGACGCCTATAGTAACACCAGTTAAGCCTGATGGGTCCATACGCTTATGCGCAGACTATAAATGCACCCTTAACAAGGCGTTACAACAACACTCCTATCCCGTCCCGGTTATTAGCCACATCCTGGCTTCATTGGGGGGCGGAAAGATCTTTGCCAAATTAGACTTGGCACAGGCATACCAGCAGTTGCCTGTCACTCCTGAGGCTGCAGAGGCTCAGACTATTGTTACCCATAGGGGGGCTTTTAAGGTGAATCGCCTACAGTTCGGGGTAAATGTGGCGCCCGGCATCTTTCAGGGCCTGATGGAGCAACTCTTGAGGGGGGTACCAGGGACGGTGCCCTACTTCGACGACGTGTTAATTGCGGGGAGGTCTGAAAATGAGTTGATGGACCGGGTGAAGGAGGTCTTGAAGCGTTTCCAAAACGCTGGGCTCAGAGTAAAACGTTCAAAATGTACACTGGGAGTTAGCAGTGTAGAGTTCTTGGGGTTCAGGATTGATGCAGACGGGGTGCACCCCACTACTGACAAGGTGACTGCAATCCGAGACGCCCCCAGGCCGGTGAGTAAGAAGGAGCTCCAATCATTTTTAGGACTCCTCAATTTTTATCATGCGTTTTTACCGCATAAGGCATCAGTGGCGGCCCCTTTGCACGCACTTTTGCATAAGGAGGCGAAATGGAAGTGGGGACAGGCCGAAGAAAGGGCTTTCGTGGGGGTTAAGGAGCTGTTGGTGTCTAATGACGTGCTGACGCATTATGATGACCAGAAGCTCCTGGTGTTAGCTGCGGACGCTTCACCGTTTGGAATTGGCGCGGTTTTGAGCCACCTGATGCCTGATGGGAGCGAGGCGCCAATCGCTTTTTACTCAAGATCTCTTTCTGAGGCAGAAAGGAACTATGCCCAGATTGACAAGGAGGGTCTGGCTTTAGTAGCGGCTGTCAAAAAGTTCCATGACTTTATTTTTGGCAGGCGATTTTTGCTGGTCACTGACCAAAAGCCGCTACTGGGGATTTTTGCACCCGATAAGCAACTGCCGAATATCATGTCCCCGCGCATGCTTAGATGGGCGCTCTTTTTGCAGGCGTACGATTATGACCTTGAACACCGGCCTGGGAAGGCAATCGGACATGCGGACGCCCTCAGCCGCTGCCCATTGCCCTGTGCGGGACCCGACCCTGCTCCTGCTTGTGAGGTCTTGGCACTGGACGAACTCCCTCAGGCTCCTGTATCGTCCAGGGACATTGCTGCACACACGGCTAAAGATAGCGTGCTGTCCCGTGTTTTAAACTGGGTTTGGAGGGGGTGGCCAGTTGGGAGTGTTGAACCTGAATTTGGACCCTACAAATGCCGCCAAAGTGAACTGTCCATTTCTAAGGGCTGTGTTTTATGGGGCAACAGGGTGGTGGTCCCTGACAAGCTCAGGAACAGAGTTCTAGAATCTCTGCACGAGGGGCACCCTGGAATGGTGCACACCAAAGCGTTGGCCAGGGGGTATGTCTGGTGGCCTGGGCTGGATAAAGAGATTGAGGATTGGGTTCGCGTGTGTTCCCAGTGTCAGCAAGTCAGGCCGGAACCCCCACAAGCTCCGCCTCAGAGGTGGGAGTCTTCAGGGAAACCCTGGGCCAGATTGCATCTGGATTTCGCTGGCCCGTTCCAGGGGAACATGTTTCTCATAGTAGTGGATGCAATGTCTAAATGGTTAGAGGTTGTGCGCATGAAAACAACCACTTCACTAGCCGTGATCCATGCGCTCCGCCATCTTTTCGCCACGCACGGGTTGCCTGACGTCCTCGTCAGTGACAACGGGCCTCAATTTGTCTCTGAGGAGTTTAAGCAGTTCCTCACGAGTAATGGCATCCGCCAAATGACTTCGGCCCCCTTCCATCCGGCATCTAATGGCCAGGCCGAACGGATGGTAAGGACGGCAAAAGAGGCCCTAGGGAAAATGAACGAAGGTGACTGGAGCCAAAGGCTGGGTGCTTTCCTCTTGCGGCAGCATACCACCCCTTGCAGTTCTACAGGCCGTAGTCCGGCCGAATTGTTAATGGGACGCAGACTCACAACCTGCTTAAACAGGTTACATCCGGATCTAACTGACGATCACTCCGAGCGTACAGAACCGCAACCGAAGGTGCGCATGTTTGAAAAAGGAGACAAGGTTTTCGCCCGAAATTATGCTAATGGTCACTTATGGCTTCCTGGGGTAATATCCGACTCTGTGGGTACTCGCATGTATGTGGTACAGTTGGCTGACGGTCGAGTATGGCGGCGCCACATAGATCAGCTAAGGAGACGTTGGGCTAAGGACAGCGCTGACTCTCCGACGGCTGAATTCCCCAATGTTGAGTGGAGACCCCCAGAGCAGGCGGTGAGTACCGAAGGGCCCGGTACTGTCCCCGAGTCAGGGCAGACCCCTGTGTGCGGGGCTGAAACCCCAGTAGAGTTTGTGCCTGAACCAGGCTGTAGTGAACCCCACAGTGACTCACAACCTTGTGTGCCCATAGAGCCTGCACCGCTTCGCAGGTCTCAGCGTACGCGGCAGATGCCGACTTATCTAAAAGACTATGATTGTAATAAAGTATTTTGGAACAGTCGATGTACAACAGCATGACTTGAATGTTTGTAAATAATAAAACAAATGGATGATGACTTAACTTAGGGGGGAGGAATTGTAATGTATTGAAACGATTACATGAATCACCTCATAGGACTCCCATGTTAAGCTTCGAGCCAGGCCAGGGCTCCTCTGAGCGAACTTCCTATTGGTCGCTTCGTAACAGCGACCAATCAGAACGATACCATTCCCTAGGAGGGAAAGACTCCCATTGGTCCTTAACTAAGCAATCTCATTGGTTGTTAATTGTAAATAGGCGTGGCTACATTAGCCCGGTTATGTTTAAAAGGAGCATAAGCTCCCACTGTTTTCTGTTCTGGTTTCTTACTGAGTTGAGTGCTTGTTCGTTACTTCCAATAAAGCTGAATCACTTGCTGAATCACTCTAAGAGTCCTTTGTTAGTGCGATCTAACACTTCGCTTTGTACTTCCAGACTTCTATCCATGGCTCCTTGCCCATTTCTTTGATTAATGCAATCTTATTTGGATAATTAGAGGCTTCATTTTTAATTTCCAGGAAATCCAGTTATTCTGTATATAAATGTCATAAAAATGTCATTTTATATATAAAAAAATCTTTATATAAAGTAGAGAAGGTATGGGATCAGAATTTGATATGGTACTAGTTATGGCCCATTCCATTTACCCATCCAGCTTTGGAGATCAATATAAATAACTATTTCCTAAACTCTGAACATACTCTGACAACATTGATGCCATATTCACACAAATATACAGTGCATAGTACATCAACTGATGCCCAAGCCTCCATACAATTCATGAGAATTACATAATTGCTGAACTGCACTTGTCTACATGAGGAATCTTGGCTCCATCCAAAGACTGAGGGTTTCATTCAAGCATTCTTCCCAACATGCTACATTCTTGCATGGTTTTTGTTTACTTGGAAGAACATTTAAAATTGTCATTTGCCTCATGCAGTCTTAAAGCCATGGGATGCTATCACATGTTCTCTTTATATATGTAGATTTGGCCTCCTGATTGTAGAGTGGTGTGAAGTCCTGTGATAATTGTTCATTTACGAATTTAATGTAATACTTCATATCCATGGTATTGACAGCTGTACAAAAGATTACACAAATGGCCCAAGGTAGTGGCTGAAATATTGTATTTAATTGGGGAAACCCTGTTTCATTTTGAATCTTATTGCATAGTATTTGGCAAGTATCTTGGGTAGTCTTGGGAAATGTTCAGCCTCTCTCATGAGATCATTGCATGTATAAAATGGCATAGTCATGTGTATGACCCCATGCACTGAATGTAATAAGAAAATAACATAGCTCTCTGTTTGCCATAATTAATGGCAGTGCTTTAAACTTTACTTTCCTGACATGCAATAAGCTTAGGAAAATATTCAGGTTATTGAAGTAAGTCGGAAGTAGGGATGTACAAAAAACCCACATTCAGATTTAGAGTAAGTTCTTTTGTCTTATTTTAAAATTTGAGTTGATTTCTTTCATATTGGGATTATGGCTAGCTGTATAGATCAACCAGTCCAACAATCACTGATGATGGTTTCAATTCTTAATAATGCTGTCCCTCACCCCAAAGATTCACAACTGCAGATCGAGAATAGAAAGTGATCATGTTTAGAGGCAATTAAAATTTCCAATGGTGCATTGGGTGCCGGGAAGCCAAGCCGTCACAATGTGATAAAGTTACCTTATGATAATTATTTCCCCTCATTTCCCAAGATGCTGAAGTGATGAACATGTATTTGTTTCACATAAACAGAGCACATAGCAGAGTGAAACTAAACTGTGACATCCACGTGCTTTACTAAGCTACACTATGGTGTTTTTAATAGTTTTCACCCAGCCTGGCTCCAATATCAGAAGACAGCGGATCTGAGAGGAAAATGCCAAAAAGCACTCAAATACAGCACGGCTTTAGTTCCTCTGGCAGACAAGTTTTTCCCAGCTTGGGGCCAGCTTAATGACCTCCTACAGTGTTCTGTGCACCTTGGTGTTTAGTCATGCCGGCCACATGACCACGGAAACGCTGGCTCTTCGGCTTTGAAACGGAGATGAGCACCGCAACCCTAAATTCGGATTCGACTGGCTTTCGAGCAAGGGAACCTTTACCTTTTACTCTCATAATGGATCTTCCTGACCTCTCCAGTCCCCTTCAGAGGCCCTACATTGGGTGCCCTTCTATCTTACTCTATCATTGTCTCTTCTGCCCGTGGATCCTTCCTTACTGTTTGTGTGTTTATATGAGTTTGTGTTTTCTTTAATTACTTTAAATATTTTATATATTTTGGCATTTTAAATAATGTTTTTATTGTTTGAAAGGTTTAAATGTTTGACATGTTTTAATGTTCACCACCTTGAGGAACATGAGTAGGGTTGAAAGGCAGCACAGAAATGTTTTAAATAAAGTAAAATAAAAATAATAATAATGCTGTATGCACAAAGGGACTCTCTGGCCAATTAAACTGAAGGGCAGTTTTATATGTGGGAAGACAGTCCTGAAAATGCCTTGGTTCCAAATTGTCTTGGTTCCAAATGTTGGCCAGTTGGCGCTTCTGATTCATCTTCAAAGGCAGCCCTCAGATAGAGTAGGTTGCAATAATCTATCCTGGATGTGATCAGAAAAGGATAAATATGGTAAGGTTATGCCTCACGGATGCCTCAAGGATGGGTCACAACTGATGAATCAGCCATTGTTGCTAAAGGCGCTTGTAGCACAGATGAGATCGACACCTACATCTATAGTTGTGGGTCTAACAGCACTCCCAAGCTGGAAACGTGTTCCTTTAGAGAAAGTGAAATGGCTTTGCCTAGGACAGTCTGGAGCTGCAATCTTCAAATGACATTATCAGCTCCCTTCCCAGCAGTATCAGGGTTATCTAGACTTAGGTATGTTGGCTTTCATTCTATGCACTCATTACTCCAGTCTCTCATACAGAACTTTTACTTTCTCATCAGACTCAACTGACAAAGTAAATTTCATGTTGAAAGTTGAAAATGGAGTTGCACGTCAAATCTCGAGACTTTCTCAGCCATTTCATATAGACAGTACTTTCTATGGAATATTGTCTACACTGGCTTATCATCTGTATTACAAAAGGTTGGAGCAACTCTTTAGCAGTTGTCTGCAAGTCTCCAGCAGATATAAGGAGATTTAGGTCCCATTCACACTTGCCGGGAAACGCGGGGGGGGGGAGGCGTGGCTGTTTGCGCCGGCACAGTGTGTCCCGCTGCAAACGCGATCAGACAGGACGGCAGTGTCCTTCCTCGGCGCATGTTCCTGGCGCACTCCAACGACACAAGAGGAGCAAGCTGGAGCGATCACACTAAGAGAGTCAGTCAGCAGCCCACTGCAAGCCATTTGCTAGTGGACTTTAGGAGGTACCTTTTTATTCCGCATCTTTGGCCGGCTGTGACGGGTGCACTACGCTGGCCAGATGTTGCTATGTGATCGCACCCTTAGAATCCGCCCGGCATTTGTGCCACTTCTGCGGCAACTTCTGTGTCTGATCAGAGCCTTAGTAACTCAGTGACTGAGGCAAGACTTGGTATCTGGATGTGTTTTAAATGGATTTTAAGCCCAGGTGGTTCATTATTGCAGTCCTTCATATTTGGTGCATGCTTTAAAATCATGCAGCTGTGGTCAGGCTGGGTTAAAACAAGCTGTCCTAGGCTGTTGGATGTAACCCTTAATGAGAATTGTCTCCCATATCTGGAAAATAAAACAGCAACATAGTTACAGGGTTTTCCCCCCAAATATGTAGCTTTATTGCAAATTGTCTCCAAGTCTCCAGCAGATCTAAGATACATAAAATGTGATATAAGTACATTCTCAAGTTCTTTCATGTGATTATTTTAATGATTAAGGGGTCACTAGATAAAGACCACAGAGATTTATCACTGGTGAGCTCAAAATATGTTTAAATTTCCATCAATAGCAGCACTTTTCCTTTTGTGCCATTTTCCAAGAAAAATGATCCCCACAGAACTGCTAATTGTACCAACAGGTAAAACTTACATGCCTATGTAAGTTTCCCCTATCCCAGCAAATAGCAGCTGGGGCTTTGGGGAGGGGGATGCTCACTGTGATAATGGTATATGGAAATAGTTTACCCCCCAAGTATTTCAGTCCTGAGCCTAATCCTCCGCATCCCACAGTAGTTACTAATGGAAGTTTAAAGAGACAGGAGATTCAATAATGACTCTCCAATGACTCATCTAGCAGAGGTTTGAAATAAGATTGAATACCTACAAACAGATTAATCTGCTGCCATGTTTGAAGTTGTAGTGTTGGCTTGGGGTGGCTTTCTGCTATTACAAGCTTTCTCTGGGGCTTAATAAACTCATATAAACAGTGCCTACCAAATTACTCCAATTTGTTTCTCAGATCTTTTAAGCATGCCAGCATGGTGACGCATGCATTCTGGCCTGGGAGCCTCTATGCCCTTGGAGGTAGTGCAGCCCCTTTAATAACCATTAACTCTGTTATCTGGCTACTTTCTAATTTCTCCTCTTTTGTTTGGGCAATTCT